CATACCCATTACTGTCAATGTCAAATAAGGTTTATGTTCCTGTTGAAGTGCTAAGTCAATAGTAGCCAATTCAAACACCTCACAATTTGGATCAAAGGGTTCCTTAGTCTTCCCCCCACTAGAGTCTACTATTTCTCCCTCAAGGACTAGTCACGCCTTATCTTCCTCTTCCTCACGCTCAAAGCTGGGGGATGGACTTCTCTCTCTCTCTTCTCTCTTTTCTCTCCTGTCTGACTTTCTCTGCCCTTGTCCTGTACTCCTCTATCTCTGGCTCTTCCTCACCTTCATCTTCCCTTCCTCCTCCAGCCCCTTCTTCCTCATAGGGAGGTGGGGCCGGTGGGGGGGGCAACATTATTCCCCTGCACTCTCCTTCTCCTCCCTACGTATTCATCATCTGGATTTTCTCTCAATGCCTGGTCTGCCAAGTTTGGATATAACCTTTCTGCCCTCTGCTCTGGGGGAGGCACGGAGACCTCAACCTTCACTTCTCTTTCCCTCTCACTCACTTCTCTTTTCTTCCTGCCTTCTTTCTTGGCTCTGTCCTGTCTGTTATTCTGCTCATGATGGATTGCATGTCTCTCTGAGGCTATTACACAATTCAGTTATTTTCCCAACATACTCTCCGTGATCGGCCCATGGCAAAAGTGTCCTCTGGGCATCCCCTGAAACCCACTGCCCTCTAACGGCAGCCCAAACCTTACTATTCCTGTTTTGGGGTGGGTCATTCCTTCTACCGCTCTGGCCACGTCCTCTGTGTTCATGGCCTGTCTGCTAAATGGCATATTATTATTATTACTGTATACATCTAAGGTTGCTGGGGCCCCTTTCATTCCCCGCCAATAGATTAGGTAAGGCTATCAGTGGGTACTGGCCCCCTCCTACTCTCTCTCTCTCACTGCTTATTTCTCCTTTACACACCTTATGTATCTGTTTAAGCATGGATTCGAGTTTATCTGCGTCTAGACGTCCCTCAAAACCATACCTCTCCCTCCACCTGGTTACATAATGGAGATTTCTTCTATCCCTGGATTCCATTTTAATTACATCAAGCATTTCTTGTCCCCAGTAAATTCTGGGACCTCTTGTGAGGATTTGCCCCCCCATGGTTGGTACTGTTAAAAATCCCTTAGCCACCTCTTCTATATAACAAGTCAATTTAACAAGTAATTCAAAATAGCTTCACACAACAACACCTTGAATCACCCCTTCCTGTATATGTAATCTTGACTAGTCCCCCAGAATTATCTCATACTTTTACAGAGGGATTGATCCCCACAATGTAATCTTGATAATTCCTGACAGTCTCATACAACAGGAATGGGTTCTCCCTCCTCTATACAACCACCCGGAATTATTCATGTGACTTTTGAGCAAACATTAGGTCTCACACGTATACAACCTTACATGATTATTGGTGTTGTATCGGTAACCTGGAGTTTATAAGGCTCCAGAACGGATAGAGTTACAGCAAAATCTACAGTTGTTTGTGACTTTTGACTTTACTAATATTCTATTTCTCACACATGCTACTTTAATTCCTTCTGGTGTACTTTTTGTATTTGTTTAACCCGGATTATTTGTTGACTGTTCAATAATCTCTTACAGGTTACATCCCATAGGTGTACTTTTAATAGTTCCTTCTATTTCAACACCGGGTAGTTTCTTTTGGTAATGGCCTATTACCGTGAATCATTACGGACCCACCACCAGGTTGACTAGTCCCCCAGAATTATCTCATACTTTACGGAGGAGTCTATCCTCACAATGTAATCTTGATAATTCCTGACAGTCAACCCCACATTTCACTTAAAATGGCTACGCATTGATCAATTTGCTACTTTTCAATATTTTAGCAAGTCCTCAAATCAATTTCACCAAGTTAATGAATAAAGACTACTGACCTTATCCTTGCAGCCGAGATTCAATGTAGGTTTGGATTCCGTCACCGTCTCTGTCATTAATCAGGTGTCCTCTGGCCTGTTTTAACCCTTAATGTCAAAGGGCAGGACTTTCTATTTACGAATGTATCATTCGCCCGTCGACGGTTTTCAGAGTTACCTGGAATGACAGAAACAGGGTATTGGAGTCCGGCTCAGAAGGACCAAGCTGTTACGTGAATTATTTAACAAACTATTTTAGTGTCTCTGTGCGTCTCCCAAAAGGTTGTAAGTCTTTTGGGATTTAAGTAACGGCCAGAGTCCCGGTCTGCATAGTCAGAGATATTTATTCATTGAGAATTCTGCCATCACAATTTCAGAGTCCATCTTTTATACTCATACGTCATACAAAAAGAAATCCCTTCCCTCTGTAGGCGGCCTGTAGTTTTCCACTCTAAAACTGCTCTACTGACCTTCAGTTCACACACACACACACACATGCATACACACATACATACACACACACACACACACATATCCTACTCCCTGCTTTACTCAGTTATTGCCGTTCTCACAATATTCTGCACCATGTTTTCATAACAGTTTCTCCCCTCCCTAAATTGGGAGGCCTCTTTATCTTAGTTTCTCAGTTGTCTTTGTTGTCTGGCCTAACTCTTACTCACATTGCTAAATAGTGGCTCAATGCCATAGCCTTTACTGGTCCTACACTCACACATTTCTAACACATTATACACAGTTTCAGGGTGTAATAATTAGTCATTAATAATTAATATATCATCCAGTCCCTTACAATCCTACACATTAAGGTTGAGGTACTGCCTTACCTCCATAACTTGCTACATTTGCACACACTGTATCTATATTTTCTGTTGTATTTTTTTGACTTTATGTTTTTTTTACCCCATATGTAACTCAGTGTTGTTGTTTTTATCGCACTACTTTGCTTTATCTTGGCCAGGTCGCAGTTGTAAATGAGAACTTGTTCTCGACTGGCTTACCTGGTTAAATAAAGGTGAAATAAAAAATAAATAAATAAATGAAGTAGAGAAGAACATCCATAGACATGGAGCTGCTGCTGCAGTAGACAGACCACTTCCTGGACCACATGGTCATAACAGAAAGGCTTCAAGTCTGCACAGATAATCTTATTAGCTTTATTTATGTTTATTTGTGTGTGTGTGTGTGTGTGTGTGTGTGTGTGTGTGTGTGTGTGTGTGTGTGTGTGTGTGTGTGTGTGTGTGTGTGTGTGTGTGTGTGTGTGTGTGTGTGTGTGTGTGTGTGTGTTTGTCAGTTGTTTTAGTCTGCCCTACTCATAATCCTCATAAAAGTGTGAATGTGTGTTTTCTTGTGACAGATAAGTGTGTTCACTGTTCTATGAAGTTGATGTGTTCTCAGTTGTGTTTGATTTAATCTCGTTCCCAGACACTTCCGCCCAAATGCGCGAAGAGTCTGGTGGGCCAATGCCTCAAACTTGGCCTTCATTAGCCAATACAGCGTGCAGGGAGAATCTCACGGTGGATAGGCATTGGTTTAATCAGCTAAATCTACCAACCAATCATCTTCCACAACACCTTCCCCCTAACCCTCCCCTGTACGCTAGCACACCACAAGCAAAAAGGCATGCCTTGCAGTCATGTTTTTAAGTTATGTACCCAGTAGGTCCCTCAAGTCCTCTGGCACTGGCCCTTTAACTATCCCAAAGCCTAGGACCAAGAGGCATGGGAAGGCAGCTTTTAGTTACTGTGCCCACAGCCTCTGGAATAGTCTGCCAGAGAACCCGAGGGGGTCCGAAACTGTGGACATATTTAGAAGAGATCTTAAAACACACCTTTTTAGCTTTGCTTTTCCTCAGGGTGCTTTTTAGTCGTTCAGTTTTTATTATTATTCTGTTTTTTATCCTCTTATGTTTTGTTGTGTAGTAAATGTTTTCGATTTTATTTTCATAGTTTATTTTATTTTCTCCTGTGAAGCACATTGTGTTGCATTCCATGTCTGAAGATGAATGGGGAAAGAATACGGTTTTGGGATAAATGCCAAAAATAAAGTCTGAGGTTAACACAAGTTTAGGAGATCTTGTATGGGGGTGCTAAAATGCCAGGGCATCATTTTTGTCCCAGTCCGCCCATGGGTGAAAGTGCAAGGTGATGAGCTTGATGCTCCTTTCCAATAAATATCGAGGGGTCTTATTCTGGTGACATGATCATCGATGCTTGGCTGCGTTTGACAAATACAATTAATCTAGCTTTTTTGTCAATAGTAATCTAATCATGTAGGCTATACCCGCACTATATCGGCTAGCTGTTGGCTAGAGCGCACGTACCAATACCAGAGTGGGCAAACTCGCTTTATAACGCAACATTTTTTGTCAGAAAACCTTCAATAGAGTTGAAAATACGATGGAAACCCATTTAACTTGTCTTTTTTTTATTCGGTACATGGGAATTTAACCGCAAATTTTATTTGTATGTGCACTACGTCATCACGCACATACTTTTTATCCACAACAAAGTATATTTGATGGAAACACATCTGTGGTAGGAAGTAGAGCATTTTGTTTTTATGCGAATTTTTGCGTATTCGCGTGAACAAATATGTCGCCAATTGGATGGAAACCTAGCTAATGACACGCTCTGCATGTTGCTTGGTAACCAAATGGCGTTTGCGCAAACAGGAAAATCCTGACATGGATTCACTAACTGTTACCTATATATCAAAGGGCCAGCGTTCTGTTTTGAACAGACACATTTAGGGTAAGTTCTGTGCGTAATTGGAATAGGTGGATCATCATAGTGCGACGAGGTTAGACAGTTTGTTTTCCTGCGCAGTTGCTGGCCGAGTCACTTGTCTGTGTCTGTCTTTTGCCAGTGTTTTTTTTTTAACGCATATCTGTGTTCTGTTTTGCTGCATAGTGTCTCTGTCCGTTGTGACCATTGCATAACAACAGTTCTTTAATGTTCTTTTGTATTTACAGGCACAGGTCCAGTTCATAAGCATGGAGAAGAAAATTGACAATTACGCAATAGAAAGGTTAGCAGAAGTTTATTCTCAAACTCAACATTAAATGGATATATAGGCCTCCACCACCTAACACCTAAAGTTACCATGCCTCAGTATTTTAGAGCAGGTATAAGAGAGGTGCCACCACTCTAGCAGTAAAAGTGAAGGTTCATAGTACCAGTCGCACCACCCCACTTCAACCACTGATCTCAGCCCACCATAGGGACCCCTTTAACCTTTAACCCCCCCCCTTCCAGTGCCCCTTCATCCCCCCTAGTGGAGGATATGGTGGAGCTGGACGGCCGGCAGCAGAGAGTCTACCACAGGGCTGCCAGGATGATACAGAGGACATGGAGGAGACATGTGGTGGGTGGAACCACAACACAACACACACACACACACACACACTAGCATGCACAGACTGTGTAACTTCTCTATCTCCCATGTGTAGGATACACGCGTGTTCCAGTACTTCAAGAACCTTGTGAGGTTCCGTAACCAGGGAGACCCTCGACTCCTGCTCAAATACGTCAACCCCAGAGAGGTTAGACACCTTACACACGCACATACACACACACACACACACAGACACACACATTGACCATAATGAATGTTACTGTGGTTGTTGCAGGCAGATATTCTGGATGCTGCGGCAGGAGTCCACATCAGATTCAGACTGGGAGGGGTAAGTTCATTTTGTCAGTGCTAAAATGCAGATTATAAACTGGGTGGTTCAAGCCCCGAATGCTGATTGGCTGACAGCTGTGTTATATCAGAGCTTCTGAAAAAGAACAGGAGAGCCTCTCACTTTAGGAGCTCATATGCAATCATTTAATAACCAACGTTTGGACAGACAAGCTGTCTTTATCAGACCGTATACCACGGGTATGACAAAACAATAATTGGTATTGCTCTAATTATGTTGGTAACCAGTTTTCAATAGCAATAAGGCACATCGTGGATAAGAACAGCCTTAGCCGTGGTATATTGGCCATATACCTCCCCCCGAGCCTTATTGCTTAAATAAACACCCATCACTCGCAATACTAATACCTGAATTTATTTCAAAACCTATCTGCGATGATTTATGCAATACAAATAGATGTGTGCATGCTAATGTGAGATTTGTTTTTCTCTCCCCTCATAGACCACCTTTCCACCGAGCATCTACTATAAGATCTACACCCACCGACCCATCGTGGACATGTGTGCCAACAGCCCCAAGGACTACACCCACCCCAGGCAGAAGAGGCCCGTCCCCAGGCAGATACACAATGGGAAGCCCCAGGTGCAGGACGACCATGCTGGCTGGTACCGCCGCGTGGAGAACAACGGCTGGAGACTGCTGTCTGGGAAGGTGGTGCAGAAGTTCTAAATCCATGATATCACACTGTATCAGATGTGGGTTCAGTATGATATGGTTGGAACCGCGAACAGAGATACTTTGTTGCCTTCGTTGCTTTAGTGCAGGACTCAGCGACTCTGTGAAAGAAGAATCATTTGAGAAGCGCTGTGCTCTCTCTCTCTGTATTGGTTCAGGCTGCTCTGTTAGGTGACATCATCACGTTGGAGACCAATGGCAGGAAGGTGGAGTTTCACCATTCCAAACTGCAGCGTCGTCAGGACGTGGACAGGAGGAAGAAGAGGAGGAAGATGGAATGGCTGAAGCAGATGTGAGTTAGTGTGCGTCCTTACCTGCAACAGCACTACTCACCTGTCCCCTCACCTGTATGCTCAAACTGCATCATTATTGCTAACCTCTAATAGCCTCACCTGTCCCTCTACCTGTCCGCCTCACCCTCACCTGTCCCTCTACCTACTGTCTGCAGGTATGACCTTGGCTGTCTGCATGCGCGTACAGAGTATAGTGAGACAGCCATGCTGGTGGAGCGGTCAGCCCAGGGCATGATGGACGCCATGGAGCAGCTGGGACCCAACCACATCGTAGAGTGGGAGGTGGACGAACTACTGGAGTGGACCAACGCTCTCAACTTTGACGAGTAACTAACCACCATAATATGTATATTTTTTTATGATCCTTTATTATAACAGGTGATCCCATTGAGACAGTTGGAATACGGTGTTACCCAAAGCAACAATGTTTTTTAAATATTTCTGCAGGTATATTAATGACTGGAGGGATGTGGGCACCAGTAATTCCTCTGAGTCTTGTAAAGGTAAAATGATTTATTCCTTGACCTGACTCAGCACATAATAACCACACCAACAACATCAGTGGGATTATAGCACCCCCTTCTGGTCAAAGGGAGTAATAAGTCTCTTTCACTCTATTTCTCCTTCTGCCCAAGATAAGAGGCTGGTACCGTCCAAGCTGGAGCCTTGTGTTGAGTTCACTGTGCTGGGGCAGGAGGACAGCCAGGTGGACACTTACAGCAGTATCCTCCACCCTTTGGTCTCCAGCCTCATCAAGTCAGAACACTCCAAGGCCAATTTCTCTGACTGACTGACTGAGTGACTGACTGACTGGCTGGCTGACTGCATTGTATCGCTGACCACACCAGAAAACTACAATACCGACCATTAGACACTACTACTATGACACTATGCATTGAGATTCAATTTTAATGTGATGAGCAATAAAGCAAAGTGTTGAATGTAACTTTACGTTGATAATACATATTTATATATATTGTTGTAGCGTTTTTTTGAACCTGTGATGGGCCTAATGACACCAGATGTAGGCAAGCCAGATACAATGCGCTTCTAAAGATTATACCTATTGATGTTCAAACATGATCACACAAAATGAGGGGGCACCCGGATTTGAACCGGGGACCTCTTGATCTGCAGTCAAATGCTCTACCACTGAGCTATACCCCCGTACTCCTAATACATGAAAATTATGTGCTATATAAATCTTCAACCAAGTGTATTGTACATATAATATTAGTATGATAAACGATATATGATTCGGAAGTGTCGTCAAACAGTGAGAGAGGGTCGGAGGTCGGAAATGCCCGCGTGTAGTGCGGACGAAATGGAGAAAAGGCTGGTGAAGCAACAGCTGTGATGGAATGCGAACAATATGGCGGTCAGTTCTGATGGTATGCTGCGATAGGATGAGGGTCATGGACCGGAAAGGTCGGTAGTGGAAAGACATAGGAAGAAGAGAGATCATGATACAGAAAGCAGTGGAGCGTCTAGTATAGAAAGCACAAAGAGGGCCAAGGTAGGAATCAAGAGTAGTGATGTATTGGAGTGGAAAGTGGTGATAGTGTTTGATGAGACCACAGGGCCTCACTTACACCCTATCCGACTAACTAATGACATAGAGAAAGAGGTAGTTTGGTTCATTGGAAAGGGAAGATTGTTAATATTGTGTGGTAGCCAGGCTCAACAAGAGAAGATTCTGAAAATGGAAAAGCTTAATGGGAAGAAGATTAAAAGCCATGTCCCTGGTGCTTAAACTAGATTGAGGGGAGTCATCACTGGGGTCCACAGATGATAAAGACAATGTGAAGGGAGGCAGAGTGATTGAGGCCAAAAGGTTGATAAGAGGGTCAAAGTGAAAAGCTTATCAGTGATGTTGAGGTTTGAGAAAGTCTTGCTGGGAAAAGCACAGATAGGATTCCTTAGTTTCAATGTTAGAGAATTTGTCACATATGCATTGCGGTGTATTAAATGCCAAAGAATGGGACATGTACAGTGGGGGGAAAAAAGTATTTTAGTCAGCCACCAACTGTGCAAGTTCTCCCACTTAAAAAGATGAGAGAGGCCTGTAATTTTCATCATAGGTACACGTCAACTATGACAGACAAAATGAGATTTTTTTCTCTCCAGAAAATCACATTGTAGGATTTTTAATGATTTTATTTGCAAATTATGGTGGAAAATAAGTATTTGGTCAATAACAAAAGTTTCTCAATACTTTGTTATATACCCTTTGTTGGCAATGACACAGGTCAAACGTTTTCTGTAAGTCTTCACAAGGTTTTCACACACTGTTGCAGGTATTTTGGCCCATTCCTCCATGCAGATCTCCTCTAGAGCAGTGATTTTTTGGGGCTGTCGCTGGGCAACACAGACTTTCAACTCCCTCCAAAGATTTTCTATGGGGTTGAGATCTGGAGACTGGCTAGGCCACTCCAGGACCTTGAAATGCTTCTTACGAAGCCACTCCTTCGTTGCCCGGGCGGTGTGTTTGGGATCATTGTCATGCTGAAAGACCCAGCCACGTTTCATCTTCAATGCCCTTGCTGATGGAAGGAGGTTTCACTCAAAATCTCACGATACATGGCCCCATTCATTCTTTCCTTTACACGGATCAGTCGTCCTGGTCCCTTTGCAGAAAAACAGCCCCAAAGTATGATGTTTCCACCCCCATGCTTCACAGTAGGTATGGTGTTCTTTGGATGCAACTCAGCATTCTTTGTCCTCCAAACAGGATTACATTTACGTCATTTAGCAGACGCTCTTATCCAGAGCGACTTACAGTTAGTGAGTGCATACATTATTTTTTATACTGGTCCCCCGTGGGAATCAAACCCACAACCCTGGCATTGCAAACGCCATGTTCTACCAACTGAGCTACACCCCTGCCGGCCATTCCCTCCCCTACCCTGGACGACGCTGGGCCAATTGTGCGCCGCCCCATTGGTCTCCCGGTCGCGGCCGGTTACGACAGAGCCTGGATACGAACCAGGATCTCTAGTGACACAGCTTACACTGCGCTGCAGTGCCTTAGACCACTGCGCCACTCGGGGACCCAGGATGAGTTGAGTTTTTACCAAAAAGTTCTATTTTGGTTTCATCTGACCATATGACATTCTCCCAATCCTCTTCTGGATCATTCAAATGCACTCTAGCAAACTTCAGACGGGCCTGGACATGTACTGGCTTAAACAGGGGAACACGTCTGGCACTGCAGGATTTGAGTCCCTGGCGGCGTAGTGTGTTACTGATGGTAGGCTTTGTTACTTTGGTCCCAGCTCTCTGCAGGCCATTCACTAGGTCCCCCTGTGTGGTTCTGGGATTTTTGCTCACCGTTCTTGTGATCATTTTGACCCCACGGGGTGAGATCTTGCGTGGAGCCCCAGATCGAGGGAGATTATCAGTGGTCTTGTATGTCTTCCATTTCCTAATAATTGCTCCCACAGTTGATTTATTCAAACCAAGCTACTTACCTATTGCAGATTCAGTCTTCCCAGCCTGGTGCAGGTCTACAATGTTGTTTCTGGTGTCCTTTGACAGCTCTTTGGTCTTGGCCATAGTGGAGTTTGGAGTGTGACTGTTTGAGGTTGTGGACAGGTGTCTTTTATACTGATAACAAGTTCAAACAGGTGCCATTAATACAGGTAACGAGTGGAGGACAGAGGAGCCTCTTAAAGAAGAAGTTACAGGTCTGTGAGAGCCAGAAATCTTGCTTGTTTGTAGGTGACCAAATACTTATTTTCCACCATAATTTGCAAATAAATTCATTAAACTTTTTTTTTTCTCATTTTGTCTGTCATAGTTGACGTGTACCTATGATGAAAATTACAGGCCTCTCTCATCTTTTTAAGTGGGAGAACTTGCACAATTGGTGGCTGACTAAATACTTTTTTCCCCACTATAGCTGCTCAGTGTAAAGGAAAGAAAGGATGTGCCAAGTGTAGAGGGGCACATGATTACGGTGAATGGGAAGCAATGTGAAGGTTAAGTGCTGTAATTGTGGGGGAGAACACAGTGCAGCATTTGGCGGATGCCAGGTACAGAGAGAGGCTCAGAGATATAGGATCAGTCATGATGTATCTTATGCAGAGGCCGTAAAACAGATTAGTAGAACTACAGTGCGGACTGATGGAGCTTCCATGGATGTACCTGTAGTAAGTGGACCTACTGTCGGGGCTGGTGCTTCTGATGGTTCTGGCATGGTTTCGAGGCCTATTCAGAGATCTTGTGCTCATGAATGTGCGGTGTCAAAGGACACTTTGATAATGAATAAAGTTGACTTCATAGCTGTTATTGGTAAGGTTATCAATATGACTCGGGTTGTGGAAAGCAGAAATGCCAGGTTGAAGGTTATTGTGGAGACGGCAAAATAGATATTGGGGTAACAACAGATGTTACTGTTGAAATGGTTGTTGAGATGCGGAACAATCCTAATGGTGGAGTGTTTCAGCGTGATATAGATCAAGTTTGATGGGGTTGGGGAGTTTTTTTTGGGGGGGACGGTGCGGTAGAATTTAGGTATTTTTTTGGTTTTTAATGTTATTTTAATGGTAGTACAGAATTGGGAAAATCATGGTTGATCGTACATTCCAGCACAGTAGGTGGCGGCATGCACTGTAAACGTTTGTTTGTGGACCGCCATGACATCATAGAAGAAGATGAAAAAGAAGAAGTGTCGTCAAACTAACGCGACCCTGACCGGAAGTTTTGTACTAAGAGTGGAAACAGCCGCATCACAGCGACAATGGTAGCTATCAAATTACCAACATTTGTTGTTTAATTCATACATTAAATGTGTGTTTGATAGATAACTATGTTGTCTATACGAAATACCAATGAATCGTGCGGTTTTGTTAATTTATTGCTTGCTGTATTTGTAGAGATGTTTGGATTTTGATTAGTCACTCATGCCAGTGAGCTAGCGCTAATTAGCAGTGAAGATGTAGCCAACGTTAGTTCTAACTAGCTATTTGTGTTGGTTTGTGTCAGTCAGTTTGGTTAATTAATCTAAGTTGGCGCCAATCATCTTGCCTACCTTTTGTTTCGTGCCAGCTAGGTAGTTAACAATGTAGCAGTTAGCTGAAGTTAGTTCGGCTTTTTGGGATGCAGAAATGTGTTAGCTAGTAGGTATTCATCATGCCTCTACTATAATGCTAGCTAATTGAGTTGTGTTCTTTTGTTCGTTTCCAGAATACTCGTGGACTCCGATCACAGCTAAAGGACAGTGTACCGGTGACGGGCATGGGTCCACAGGTTGGGGCTTATGGCGTTCAGGACACACTCAGGAGCGGGTGAGAGAACAGTCTCTGCTGGTCACTCATTCAACTCAAAGTATATAACAGTTTGTGAGACATAACTGACATTTGAACTCTTCCCTCTCTCAGGTTCAGCAGTGTGAAAAATGAGCTGCTCCCCAGCCATGCGTTGGAGCTGTCAGAAAAGAATGTGAGTGACACAAGACGCTGTTGTTCTGAGCTAAAGGCATATGTTCTGGAAGTTAAAACAAGTCTTCAGGTCTCATACAACTTCTTTCTTCTAACCACTTCTGCTACTTTAGCTCCAACATTGCATTTTGTCCTCCCCTTGCAGTTTCAGCTGAACCAGGACAAGATGAACTTCTCCACCCTCAGAAACATCCAGGGCCTCCACGCTCCCCTGAAACTACAGATGGAGTACAGGGCAGCCAGACAGGTAGACGCATGTCTCTCTGATCTTCATTGAAAACAAAGAATAGTGTCGGAGAAAATGCAATAAGCAACTTTCCCACTTATCCCTTATCTCTCTCCCTTCTCAGATCCAGCGCCTTCCTTTCCTGCAGAGCTCACACCTGGCCCTGGACACTCTCAAAGGGAATGATGAGAGCATCAGCTTTGAGGACATCCTCAATGGTAAGAGACACTGTATACAGAGGAGACAACAGCAGAAAGAACACAGTTGAAGTTAAACTAATGTGAACTGAGCACTATTTTGTGTCCATCTCCCTGCAGACCCAGCCCAAAGTGAGATGGTGGGTGAGCCCCACATCATGGTGGAGTATAAGCTGGGCCTGATGTGAGAGCCATCAGACCCCAGGATGTTTGTGTTTACCCTCTGTTCACTTCCTCATGAGACAGCACTCAAGACTTTCGTATTGTTGGATTCCTTTGTTTCTAATAAATCCTATAACTCAACCGTGTTGTTGCTGTATTACAGGTGTGTGGTAGTGTTTTTGGTGTATGCTTGCTTGCTTCATTGAATTTCTAGAAACAAGATGCATTACAACTATTTTTATTTTTCAAACAAAGATAACATTTGTGTTTAGGTTTAACTCTTATGATTCTTATCCATCATGACCACACATAAATATGTCTGTCAGAGGCCCCTGACAGTAGGTATTCTCCCTTGTGGTCAAAAACAACGCTGCGCCAGGTCCTCGTGATTCAGCACACACGCCACTTGCGAGTACGCCCAATCCACCACTCTCACCTCGTCCCCAGCAACTGCCAGCGTCCGGCCCGACGGGCTGAAAGCCATCCGGTTGCTAGGCTGCGGCCCCGTCTCCACAGTGAACACGTCTGCTGCACTCCTGAAGTCCCACAGCATGACAGCGCCACGGGAATCGCAGGACGCGATGAGGTCACCAGTGGGGCTGAGTGAGGCGTGGTTGATGGCGCTGCGGTGGCCGTAGATTGTCTGGGCAAACGGCGGTCCGGGTGTCCCACAGGGACAGGGTCTTTTCAGCCAAGGAGGTGAGCAGGGTAGTGTAAAAGGGGGGAAACTCTACACTGTTGAGAGAACCGGGGTGGCCGTGTAGTCACAGCAGCCCTCAGAAAGGTCCCATATCTGGACGCTGGTGGCCCCCAGCTTAGCCCCGTCAGGGTGAAGGCTATCCCCAGAGAGCCAGTCGCTGTGCCCCTGGCCTGTAGCAATTAGCGCTCCTTCAGGAAGCCTCCAGAGCTGCTCGTCACTAGCTGAGGCAACCACTAGTTTGCTTCGGTGAAGAGCCAGGAAGCTGACAGGCAGGGTGTGGGCCTAGATATGTTTTATTGTGAAAAAATAAAGAACAGTAAACATGATAACATACAATAACTTTTAGTAGTTTGAGTTGCTATTAGGGAAATAAAATGCCTTGATACATAAAGGGTGAGCAGGGTATTCATCACAACAACATCTTACCTTGAGGGTGTTGGTGAGGCGGAAGATGGCTACCTTGAAGGAGCCCTGAGCAGACACAGACATCTTCCCTCTGGGCCAGCTGGGGGTTAACACAAGTGTCTGGGGGAAACTGGGTCTTTGGAGGGGGTGTAAAGACTGACCCCATCCCCCTGGTGCTTGTGGTTACCCCTGTCTTGTTTGGGGTGAGGCTACACTCAGAGGTGGGGTGGGGAGGTTGAGAAGGAAGGGTGTTGTGTAACGTGGCATCTAGGCTGTGGGCTTGCCAGCATTTTCTGCTTCAGAGCTGCCTGGTATTTCTCGTTCATCTGTTTCAATGCTGGATCATAGGAAGCGCCGTGTGTCTTCAGCTTTCTAATGTCTTCTATCAGTCTTTTCTTCTCCTGGCCCACTCGCTTGTGGAAATCTCTGGCTTTTCGGAGCTTGACCAGAGTCTGTCCCGCTGCTGAGGCTGTTTGCCTGTATTCTCCCCTCTCCCTCTGCGCGTTTTTCAGCTCGCTGCTAAGAAAATGCTTTTGCGTGTACACATCTGGAACCAGCCCCACATCCTCCGCATTAAACAGACATTTGTGCGCCATCTCATTCCACTCCGTTTGAAAGCAGTTCAGCGTTTTGTCCATGCCCATGCTGACGAGGAAGTTGCGTGGAAAGTCGTTCAACACTTCGGCTATGCGATAAACCGTTTTCGATTGGAGCTTCGCGGTAGTGAAAGCCATAATCGGAGTCTGTGGGTATTGTAACAGACTAGAGGTAAAATATATCGGATGCTGGTTGTTGTCTTTGTGGACATTTTTAAGCACTCAAATGTTGACAGTCCAGTGTGGAATGCTTCGTGTTGCCATGGGAAACTAGACTGCTGGAAGAGAACGTGATACTTTGGTAATCTAATGACGTTGTCTGTCTCTACCGTCATTGGTCTGTACTCACAAACATGGCGGACTACCGCGAAGCGCCCTTGGTCACTCGGCCAAAAACGTTGGACCCAGCTGAATATTTCAACCTTTCGCTGGACCAGAGACGTGCCGAGGAAGAGAGGGCTGGTTTAAGGGCCCAGCTGAAGAGACAATATCAGATGCAGCTAAACAACCCGCACAGAAAAGAGCTTATAGTAAGTAGAGTGAGCTAACATGCTAACGCTAGTTAGCTTGCTAATGTCAGACCCACAGTTCACCCAGGGGTAATGCTATTGATGGGTTTTGCTAACGTTACTTTTGTTGATGTGACCTTGATGTTACAATTTCATAGTAATTTTGCTATTTAAACTAATTTGTGATGCATTGTTGTATTCAGTTAAATGTATTCTGGGGGGAACATGACTGTTTCTGCATTCAACCGTTTTTGCCACGATAGTAGTTGACTGCAATAAGGCTGGCAAAGACTGGCACCAACTCTCAAAAATTGGCCATCAATATTGACATGCTGTTTTTTGTATTTACAGGAAGACCCTGCCTTGACACGCTGGGTGTACGCACGCACCAACCCCTACAACTACTTCAGAGCCACCAAGAAGACGTCGCTGCTAGGTGGGCTCTTTGGAGTGGTTCCCCTCTTCGTCCTGTACTATGTACTGAAGACGGACAGGGTATGGATGAGATGACACAAACCCTTTATCCTACTCATTCCCTGACATTAGGGGTCTATTCCAAATCCACCCTAGCCTCTATACCAGTGGTCCCCTGTAGCTCAGTTGGTAGAGCATGGCGCTTGCAACGCAAGGGTTGTGGGTTCGTTTCCCATGGGGGGCCAGTATGAAAATGTATGCACTCACTAACTGTAAGTCGCTCTGGATAAGAGCATCTGCTAAATGACTAAAATGTAAAAATGTCACCAACCTTTTCTGAGTCAAGATCACTTTGAGTCAAAATGCAAGCCGAGATCTACCGCTTAGGGTTTTTTAGAAACATGACTTAAACGTAAGCTTTTGCAACATTAACCAATTAAAAACAGTTCTGTAGCAATGAGGTTTGTGCAGTAGGCTATAGGCCACATACATTATCACTGTATATTGCTATGCCTGAATTACCCTGCTACTGTTGTTCTTCTTAGACCATTTAGAATATATATTTTTTTATGTAGGTATATGATTACACTGGTAATAGATCATTTGTTGTATTACTTGTAAGGCACAGCTGAGTGGGCATAAAATATATATATATATATCTTCTTTTTTTTACTGGACAGATGGCCTGCACCTGAGGGGAGGGAGGGAGCAGAGGTGAGGCTGCCTCTCACCTGACTCACCGTCCCTCCTCGCTGCCTCCCTCCTCTGAGAAAAGGGGACACAGTCTTCCAGCTGATGGCGAAACTCAAGTCCCACTGCATTATTTCTGTCTCATGCACCAATTCATGTTGTCACTGCTATGACCAGAGAACGTGAAGAAATATTCCTAGATTATAACCCCCCCCCACACACACACACACAGATAAAAAAACAGAATAAAAACCACAAGCTTATCGGAACACTTTGCTATACTCCTTCAGTGCAGCAGCAGTGCTGGTTGTAGCGTGAGTGGAAGTAGGGAGAACGCACATTTTATGGCTTAAAGTGTTGACAGTGCTGAATAACAACTTAAACATGAACTTACTCATAAAAACAGCAGCTCTTTGCTGTATACGTTTAGTCTCTAGTCATGGTTTAGACATTTCACAGTATCAACTTTGCTGTGCGTTCAAGGTTTCTTTTTACAGTCTATGGCTTGTGCAGACACAGTGATCTGAGCTATCTGATTGGCTTATAGGTGCACTTGATTTGCACTCTGGGCCTGCTGGTTAGGCAGAGTTTTACTTTCAGACACTAGGGATGCTGAATCAAGTGCACCTACCGCCAACAGTGCTAGGGGTGCTGAATCAAGTGCACCTACCGCCAACAGTGCTAGGGGTGCTGAATCAAGTGCACCTACCGCCAACAGTGCTAGGGGTGCTGAATCAAGTGCACCTACCGCCAACAGTGCTAGGGGTGCTGAATCAAGTGCACCTACCGCCAACAGTGCTAGGGGTGCTGAATCAAGTGCACCTACCGCCAACAGTGCTAGGGGTGCTGAATCAAGTGCACCTACCGCCAACAGCGTGTGCAAATAAATAGGAACGCAGGGCTTTATCGTTGGGTTTTTTACAGAAATGTTTGGTGATCGACCAGTCAATCGCGATCAACCGGTTGGTGACCACTGCTCTATACTAAGGCCCTTTGTTTAGATATGAAGGGATTGGGTGATCTGGTGGACATTCTTCCCATCAGAGGGCTTGTGAAGTTATTGCCATATTGATCATACTGAAGTAGTCCTTTGCCTTGGTGTAGGGGTTAGGGATTGATTTGTAACTGTTGTGTAGTGTGCGGAAGATTAATCGTACATCAAACATGTAGATCTACACTGAGTGGACAAAACATTAAGAACTCTTTCATGACAGACTGACCAGGTGAAAGCTATGACACATTAAAGAAATATTTTTCAACCTTGAGACATGGATTGAGTATGTGTGCCATTTAGAGGGTGAATGGGCAAGACAAAATATTTGTTCCTTTGAACAGGGTATTGTAGTAGGTGCCAGGCGCACCGGTTTGTGTCAAGAACTGCAACACTGCTGGGTTTTTCACGCTCAACATTTTCCCGTGTGTATCAAGAACGGTCCACCACCCAAGCATTGGAGTCAACATGGGCCAGCATTATAATAATAATAATATGCCATTTAGCAGACGCTTTTATCCAAAGCGACTTACAGTCATATCCCTGTGGAACGCTTTCAACACCTTGTAGAGTCCATGCCCCAACGAATTGAGGATGTTCTGAGGGCAAAAAGGGGGTGAAACGAAATATTAGGAAGGTGCTCCTAATGTTTTGTACACTCAGTGTATCTATGATATGAAGGTACATTCGTACAGGGCCACCATACTGTGCCCACTAAGGTCATCCATTGAACTTAGACACAAATGCAGTCTAATACAGCATTGATGGGTGTATGAGCCCTCAGACAGAGCCAGTATTAAGTCTCATTTCATTCATCTTAGCTCATCGACATGGTGAAATTACCAATTTGCATTATGGGAAGAAAATCCACTTTGATGCTTTTGTCTGACTCAATAATAGTTGAGGTTTCTGCCAAATGTTTTTTGTAAGAAACTAAAGTCAGGGGGAAGAACATGCGCAATGCTATCTAAGCTCATCTTCTACCGTAGTGTCTCAGTGACAGTCTACATGCAAGCTCATCTTCTACTGTAGTGTCTCAGTGACAGTCTACATGCAAGCTCATCTTCTACTGTAGTGTCTCAGTGACAGTCTACATGGCAGCCTGTCCTTCTCCCTCCATTGTTATTGAATCAGAGAGAGCTGTCGCAGACCTGGGTACAGAGGCTCACTGTGCTGTAACTCCTCTGCTGTTTCTCCACTGAGAGGAAGAAAAACCAACCTGGATTTATTAATGAGACGTTAGTTCATATTATAAATGTATTGATGGATGAGGAGTCCCCTGTAGCTCAGTTGGTAGAGCGTGGCGCTTGCAAAGCCAGGGTTGTGGGTTCGTTTCCCACGGGGGGCCAGTATGAAAATGTATGCACTCACTAACTGTAAGTCGCTCTGGATAAGAGCGTCTGCTAAATGACTAAACTGTAATGAGGTTGCTTACAGCAGGGCTTCCCAAACTCAGTCCCCCCACCGGGTGCACGTTTAGGTTTTTACCCAAGCACTACACTGCTGATTCAAATAACCAACTCATTATCAAGCTTTGATTATTTGAATCAGCTGTGTAGTGTTAGGGCAAAAACCAAAACGTGAACCAGAACAGAGTTTGGGAAACCCTGGCTTAGGTGACGATGCTGTCTCTCTGTTGCCATCGTGACCTCATTAAGCCCCCCCCCCCCCCCCCCCCCCCCCCCCCCCACCGTCTGCAGGACAAGAAGGAGGAGCAGATCAAAGCTGGGACCTACGACCGCAAGTTCAAGCTTGCTTACTGAGTTTGCTCGTCACAGACTTCCATTGTAAAGTGTTGTAGAGAAAATGTCAGAGTGTGTCTATTATTGAGAACTGAATAAAACTTACTTTATTGTTGAAAAGCAGTTGAGTGTCTGCCTGTCATTACACATTCAAGGGCTGTGAATGGATAAAAACATGCTAATAAGTCTTCCAGGGGATTTTTATTCATTCACTTTTGTCCAGTACATGTTTTTTTTTTTATCAATGAACTGGTCAGTCAAAAAAAACAAGCATGGACCAATTAGAATGTATTGAGCCACGGTATAGTATATTACACCGAAGAGGTCCAGGATGTTGACTACGTGGGCCTTTGCGCCATGCCTTGAAAGTGATCTAGGGGAAGCAATGACTGTGTTCTGACTCTCTGCTCTACTGTTTGCTCGGTCTCCAGTTGGGGTCGAAGTGTTTGCGGAGCGGCTCCCAGCACTGGTAGTAGTTCTTATCCAGTCTCTTACACGTCTCCAGGCCCCACTTAGTTACCGCCATGCTGAACGACGACTCAAACATGAAGGCCTGAGAGAGAGGGATGTTACTTCACGGCTCACTCTGATATTTGCAGTTGTTTTTATATAATTTCATCACGTGTGTGCTCCCATATGTTACCATGGTCCCCTCGGCCACCCTCTCTGGTTTGAGGGGAGCGGTGCTGCTCTTCTCGAAGCAGTCTCTGTCAGGGCCATGAGGGGTCATCATGCTGTGGAGACTGCCCCCTCCTGGCTGGAAGCCCTCCTCCTTGGCCTCATAGTGGCCCTTGATCAGCCCCATGAACTCACTCATACAGTTCCCTGGAACACAGACAGGGGGAGCTCTGACACAACACACACAGGCAGACACACACACACACTACTGCAAAAACACATTACAGAGAGACCCGGGACAGGTTAGGGTAGTCACTAGATGGCCATGCTAGAAAGGACAAAGGTCTCGGTAACATCAGAACTGAAGACGAGCAAGTACTTGAGTTATTTGATCTTAGGGTAAGGGTTAGAAGTGTGTGTGCTGTCATACTGTGGTAGTAAGGGTTAGAAGTGTGTGTGCTGTCATACTGTGGTAGTAAGGGTTAGAAGTGTGTGTGCTGTCATACTGTGGTAGTAAGGGTTAGAAGTGTGTGTGCTGTCATACTGTGGTAGTAAGGGTTAGAAGTGTGTGTGCTGTCATACTGTGGTAGTAAGGGTTAGAAGTGTGTGTGCTGTCATACTGTGGTAGTAAGGGTTAGAAGTGTGTGTGCTGTCATACTGTGGTAGTAAGGGTTAGAAGTGTGTGTGCTGTCATACTGTGGTAGTAAGGGTTAGAAGTGTGTGTGCTGTCATACTGTGGTAGTAAGGGTTAGAAGTGTGTGTGCTGTCATACTGTGGTAGTAAGGGTTAGAAGTGTGTGTGCTGTCATACTGTGGTAGTAAGGGTTAGAAGTGTGTGTGCTGTCATACTGTGGTAGTAAGGGTTAGAAGTGTGTGTGCTGTCATACTGTGGTAGTAAGGGTTAGAAGTGTGTGTGCTGTCATACTGTGGTAGTAAGGGTTAGAAGTGTGTGTGCTGTCATACTGTGGTAGTAAGGGGGTCTGAAGGTGTGGTCAGCCACTCCCCAGCGCGGGGGGAAGATGACAAAGTCAGCCATGGCAACTCCTGGACGAGTGGACTTGGCCGTCAACACTGTGAAGATGGAAGGATCCTGGTGCACAGATGGAGGAAAGGAAGGGTTAGGGTGTGTGTGTGTGCTTGTGTGTGTGTGCACATGCATGCATTTGTGCGTGTGTGAGGTTCTCACCGCATGATCGAAGGCCACACAGTTGATGACCATGAAGTTCTCCAGGTTGTATTTGTATGGTGTGTAGTTTCCATGCCATGCCACCACATTGAAGGGAGAGAAATCCTGCCATCACACACACAAGAAGAAATTGAATAATGTTCAAATGTATAGTAGGGGTGAGACAGGTGGCAGCACCCCCTGGCCCACCGCACCTGTTCAAATGTATAGTAGGGGTGAGGCAGGTGGCAGCACCCCCTGGCCCACCGCACCTTTGAAGTTGAGATATAGCCGTACCTCAAGCCAATTTTCATTTTAGGGAAGAGGGCCCTTTGGTATTCAGAATTGAAAAACACGTAGAGCAGCATACAAATAAAAAAGAAAGAACTCAAGAGGATGAGGGCTGATTCTGAACGGTGTTCCTCCTTTCATCCTCTGCTCTTGTTTTCATTCACCCCATTCTTTGTGATCTTCAGCTTCAGGTATTATGCAGTAATTGGTTTCACAATCAAACTTTTCCAAACTTCCAGCGCCCTCGGCTCGGAGAGAGATGGGGGGAGAGGGAGAGAGACGGAGACGGTGTAGAGATATTTCTTCATCTTGATTGTTAAAACCACAGCAATTTTATATAGCAGTGCTTTTCTGATAACTTCACTGTGAAAGAGACATTCAATGGTAGTTCTAAAATCAATATAATTCATTACAGCTAAAGCTGTCTTCAGGACTGACCCATGTACCCTGTCACACACGTGCGCAAGCACACATACATTCTCCCACACACACACACATATTCTCCAATTCCCACAGACATACACCATAAAAAACACACTAACATACTTGCATACAGTGCAAGCACACACAGAAACACACACATACACAGTCACCAGGGGGTCTGAGTACCCCAAGGCAGGTAATCTCTTGGGCATTACAGTTCCTGTGATAACTCTGCCAGACTCGATTAAAAACAGAGCGCAAGAAAAAAACACACAACACAAACATATTGGCCCAGTCAAGCAAATAATAAGTTAATTTGAGCAATTTCATCTCTCTGCAGGGGGACCAAACAGCAGGACGGGACTGAGGTGGAGATGGAACCTGCCCCCCCCCCCCCCCCTCCACTTACAATATGTGTACACACACACACACACACACACACACACACACACACACACACACACACACACACACACACACACACACACACACACACACACACACACTCCCTCCAGTTTCAGGTTAGGTGGGGGGAGAGAAAGTGCAAGATGGAGACGGAGAGAAAGAGAGGGGTGGATGGAGAGGTAGAGCGAGATTAACGAAAGAAAGAGTGGACCGATGTATATCCCATGCATATACCGTGCATTCACAAAGTATTCAGACCCCTTAACTTTTTCCACATTTTGTTACATTACAGACTTTTTCTAAAATGGATTAAATTAATGTTTTTCCTCTTTAATCTACACACAATACCCCTTAGTGACAAAGCGAAAACAGATTTTTATAAACATTTGCAAAATCTTTTTTTTTATAATACCTGATTTACACAAGTATTCAGCCCCTTTGCTATGAGACTCGAAATTGAGGTCAGGTGCATCCTGTTTCCATTGATCATCCTTGAGATGTTTCTACAACTTGATTGGAGTCCAACTGTGGTAAATTCAATTGATTGGACATGATTTGGAAAGGCACACACCTGTCTATATAAGGTCCCACAGTTGACAGTGCATGTCAGAGCAAAAACCAAGCCATGAGGGCCTTGGTCAGGGAGGTGACAGAGCTCTAGTTCCTCTGTGGAGATAAGAGAACCTTCCAGAAGGACAACCATCTCTGTAGCAATCCACCAATCAGGCCTTTATGGTAGAGTATCCAGACGGAAGCCACTCCTCAGTAAAAGGCACATGACAGCCCAGTTGGAGTTTGCCAAAAGGCACCTAAAGGACTCTCAGACCATGAGAAATAAGATTCTCTGGTCTGATTAAACCAAGACTGAACTCTTTGGCCTAAATTCCAAGCGTCACGTCTGCAGGAAACCTGGCACCATCCCTACGGTGAAGCATGGTGGTGGCAGCATCATGCTGTGGGGATGTTTTTCAGCGGCAGGGACTGGGAGACTAGTCAGGATCGAGTGGAAAGATGAACGGAGCAAAGTACAGAGATCCTTGATGAAAACCTGCTACACAGTGCTCAGGACCTCAGACTGGGGCGAAGGTTCACCTTCCAACAGGACAATGACCATAAGCACACAGCCAAGACAACGCAGGAGTGGCTACGGGACAAGTCTCTGAATGTCCTTGAGTGGCCCAGCCAGAACCCAGACTTGAACCCGATTTAACATCTCTGGAGAGACCTGAAAATAGCTGTGCAGCGACGCTCCCCATCCAACCTGACAGAGCTTGAGAGGATCTAAATGGGAGAAACTCCCCAAATACAGGTGTGCCAAGCTTGTAGCGTCATACCCAAGACGACTCGAGGCTGTAATCGCTGCCAAAGGTGCTTCAACAAAGTATTGAGTAAAGGGTCAGAATACTTATGTAAATGTGATATCAGTTTTTTATTTGTAATACTTTTTTTTTTTAAATCTAAAAACCTGTTTTTGCTTTGTCATTATTTACATTTACATTTACATTTACGTCAATTAGCAGACGCTCTTATCCAGAGCGACTTACAAATTGGTGCATTCACCTTATAGCCAGTGGGATAACCACTTTACAATGTTTTTTTTTTTTTTTTTTTGGGGGGGGGGGGGGGGGGGGGGGGGGGGGTAAGCGGGGGTAGAAGGATTACTTTATCCTATCCCAGGTATTCCTTAAAGAGGTGGGGTTTCAAATGTCTCCGGAAGGTGGTGAGTGACTCCGCTGTCCTGGCGTCGTGAGGGAGCTTGTTCTACCATTGGGGTGCCAGAGCAGCGTGTTCCACCATTGGGGTGGTATTGTGCGTAGATTGATGAGGGAAAAAAATGTTTTAATACATTTTAGAATAAGGCTGTAAGGTAACAATGTGGAAAAAGGTGAAGGGGTCTGAATACTTTCCCAATGCACTGTATCCCCTCTAACACAGGTGTTTCCACGGTTACCTCCCTCACACACACACACAAAGACACACACCCTCTGTCCTCCCCTTCCCTGTCTCTTTAAAATCCCCTCCTGTCAGACAATATGAGTCGATCCAATTACCTGCTCGACAGGATGCTTTCAGAGCGGGGCAGGAAATCATTCCCCGGTAAAATATGCTGAAATTAATACTTAACTCGAGCTAGGTTTTCTCCCCTTCTGAAAGGACAGGTAGGTATCTGGCGGAAACTCCAGGACGCGTTAACTAATTATGATTAAGGCTGGTAAGTAAGCCGAGACGGGAGCCTGCTGATCAGAACAGTCAGGCGTTTTACATTAAATCATCGGGGAGGGCAGTTCAATGTTAACGTGCAGCTAACTGCTAATAGACTTCACTCTAATACTGTGCATCCAGCTATTCTCAGTGTTGGGACGGCTAGATAGCTAAACGCTAACATTAGTGGTGTCTCATGTATATATTACAAGCTACTATCATGAATTATAATGCTGTGTATGGTAATGTCTGTGACAGAACATGTACATATGCACCCAAAGACACACACACACACACACGCACAGACATACACGTACACACCTGTTGGCTGGAGAACAGTTTGCCCTGATACTTGTTGATGACGGTATAGCCTGTGGCCACCTCACGGTCCTCATACCACGCCACCGGAGTCAGGAAGTCCCTGGGATTGGCCAGTCCGTTGGCCCCTAGGAAGATGATTGGTTCACAAATGTTATGGTGTTGAAAGGTGGGAGGGTCAAGGGGTGTCATGTGGTGGAGGAGGAAAGGTGTCATACGCACCTATGGGTCCCAGGTCGGGAAGCTCAAAGTGGGCTCCGTACACCTCCAACACGTAACCTCTGGTCTCCCCGAACACATCCACACTGAAACGCATCCCTTGCTGCAACACACAAGGGACATACAGATATAGGCGAGGGGACAGGTGAAGGTTGAAAGTTACAGGTGAAGGTTGACAGTTACAGGTGAAGGTTGAAAGTTGCAGGTGAAAGTTGAAAGTTGCAGGTGAAGGTTGACCGTTACAGGTGAAGGTTGAAAGTTGCAGGTGAAGGTTGACAGTTACAGGTGAAGGTTGAAAGTTGCAGGTGAAGCTTGACAGTTACAGGTGAAGAATTGACAGTTACAGGTGAAGGTTGAAAATGACAGGTGTAGGTTAAAAGTTACAGGTGAAGCTTGACAATGAGAGCTGTCAAGATTGACAGGCTTAAGTTCTCTGGTGCTGCCATCTCACCTGGATGACACAGATCTCGTTGGGTTCCACCATCATCCTCCCAAACTCTGTAGTGACCAGAATCTCACCATGCTGGGGCACTGAGAGAGAGTATGGGGGGGGGGGGGGGGGGGGGGGGGGGGGGGTACTTACTTACTGCTTATTAACTTAATATGTTTAACTTTACTTTAAAAAATCTGCATATTGGACTGACCAATGAGGAAATCTCCATCTGAATTGTTGAAACACCTGAAAAGCAGAGACCACATAAAAAAGTTGACATGTGGCCCAGAGTTGTAAAGCTCAATTATGGGAGAGATGATGTCAAATCTACACACACACACACACTCACCTGTCAACCATGGAGGTGTTGCAGGTGAACATGTGGATGCCGATCCCATTGCGGGACTTGGTGTCTCCTGCTCCACATAGGGTGTGCAGACCCTATGATTGACAGATGGGAGAACCAATCAGACCCAGGACAGATGACAGGCTATGCAGCAGAAACAGCTATTTTCTACCAAGTTAACCAGAGGACTGAGTGATGGAGGGATGATGTTTTACCATCACAAAGTCCACTTTCTTCTCTGAGGATTTGGGGATGGTGAATGGCAGCCATCGGAGCTACAAAAAGGAAACATTAAAACATGTTTACACTTAATTTCTCTGTTTATCTTCTCTCTCTCTCTTTCTCTCTCTGTACCTGGTTAGGGTCAGGTTCCACTTCGTCCCATTTCTCTGTTAGGTTCCCACAGTGCATTGCAGTGAAGGGCTTGTGGCGGACGGACGGCAGGATACGGTATAACCAGCTGTAGAACCGAGGAAAGAAAGTTACGAAAGAGAGTGTGTTTGTCTGTGTGCATGTGTATGAAAATGTACATGAAATTGCTTTGCTGTACACGTGCAATCTGAGGACCATTGAAAGGAGGATACATTCCTGTCAATCACTATTAAATGACTGGATACCTCCTCTTATTGGTTGCCCGTGGGCAGGTGAAGGCGGAGCCGGAGAGTTGTTCAGCGTAGAGGCCATAGGGACACACCTGAGGGTTGTTCTGGAGAGACAACAGAGCTGAGTTCAACATCCCAGAGGGGGTAACGTGGGTGTGAGGGGTGTTGTACAGGTGTGGTTTGAGGGGTGTTGTTGGATAACAGGTGAGGTGTAGGCCTAGTGTGGAACGTTACCTGTCCTTCAGGTAAGGACCCTGGGCAGCGAGGGTCTTCAGAGGAGAACTCATTCCCAAACCCACTCAGATACTGGAGAAGAGCGAGAGAGATGCTGATACTTTACATCTGGCTTCAGTATCGGATTATATTATGCCATCATCATGTCTGTGTTGCTTTTGATTCGATTGGTTCGATTGTTGTTTAGTCCTTATACACTGAACAAAAATATAAATGCAACATGCAGTTCATATAAGGAAATCAATCAATTGAAATAAAATCATTAGGCCCCTATTCTATGGATTTCACATGACTGGGAATAAAGATATGCATCTGTTGGTCACAGATACCTTTTTAAAAAAAGGTAGGTGTTTGGATCAGAAAACCAGTCAGTATCTGGTGTGACTACCATTTGGCTCATGCAGCGCAACACATCTCCTTCGCATAGAGTTGATCAGGCTGTTGATTGTTGCCTGTGGAAACTTGTCCCACTCCTCTTCAATGGCTGTGCAAAGTTGCTGGATTTTGGCGGGAACTGGAGCACGCTGTCATACCTGTCTATCCAGAGCATCCCAAACATGCTCAATGGGTGACATGTCTGGTGAGTATGCAGGCCATGGAAGAACTGGGACATTTTCAGCTTCCAGGAATTGTGTACAGATCCTTGCGACATGTGGCCATGTATCATGTTTATGGAACATTTCTGGGATCTTTTATTTCAGCTCATGAAACATGTGACCAACATTTTACATAAAATGTTGTGTTTATAATTTTGCTCAGTGTACTTGTGTCATCTGTTTGCATACTTGGCACACAATGCAAACCTACGTGACTTTTCTGATGTTGCCATGCAACACCACAGCAGCACGACCCCTTTTACTCTCTTTCTCCTCTCACAGTAGCCTACGCTCAGAACGCACGCACAAACCAAAGAAATGGTGCTGAGTCATCGCGGGTCTGCAAAAGCGTACGGGTCTTTTTCCAGTAATGCGCACGCTCACGTGATTACATTCCTTGCAGTGTAGTTTACTTGGTGTGGATGAAGGATGCCCAAATTCTCAATAAACGACAGTGGCTGAATGAAACACGAGTGGCACAAAGGCTGTCAACTGATTAAAGTGTTAACCGTGATCAGAACTCTGCGTTCCACAAGCGGCTCGGGCGCATCTGGGCAGCTGCTGAATCCAGCGCGCTGATTGGACATAAGGGAACTCCCCTTCAGCACACCGCTTGACTGCTGCAGTAGGCTCCAGATTTATAAAACACAGTTTAGTCTTACATTGCATATCATAAGATTTCGGACATTTGTTGATGCGATTGATAGCTCTGTGACATAACGTATAACATTCTTAATGCTTCTCGTTCCCATATGTCAGCATTTCCTATTTTAAATTAAGAACAATTTATGAAAAATAACAGCCCTCTGCAAAAATATAACCTGAACTTTGATTCATCATACATGGAGGTAATTTATACTGAAGTTATTCCTCCTTAGTTCTTACCTTGAGCCCAGCCATTGTGCTTCCTTATGAAACTTTCCAACTGAAGAAAATACGTTTTCAATGTCCAACAGGCTGGTTAAAACGTAACTATTTCTCTCCAGTGCCTCAGTCTGCGATCCCTAACCAATATGCCACACAACCCCCACGTCCCGAGATGGAGAGAGTGAAAAAAAGAGGAGAGGGGAGGGCTGGATTTATGCTCTTTCTCAATATGGCTTTAATTAAGACCAGGCCGATCCGTGACGTATGGGGGGTGGAGGTTCTCTCTGGGAGAAAGGGGTGGGTATGCATAGAAAAATAGAGGCTGAGGTCGGGTGGCCCAAAAGTGAGCAAACAAGGACCCAAGCCAAAGCAAATACAACCCCAAGCCACCTTTTAGATACAACATGCATGGGTCCAATGGCCATGACGCGTCAAGTTTGACCTTCCATCAACATTGACAGCTATGGATGCACTGCGCTGATGGTGAAGCCCCAAGAAATAGAATGAATAGTGATGCACAACAGCGCACTGAAACCATAGAGATCTTATTCAATTACCATTCTATTTCCCAATTCTATGACTAAAACCAATGAGATGATGACTCCATTACTTAGCTGGCCATGTTGGAAAGGACAATTGCAGCAATATAGTTAGGCCTGTTGAGCATTTGGTATACTTAAGCAATAAGGCCCAAGGGGGTGTGGTTTATGGCCAGTATACCACGGCTAAGGGCTGTTTGTACACAAGATGCAATGCAGAGTGCCTGGATATATATTGGTCATATACCACAAACCCCCGAGGTGCCTTATTGCTATTATAAACTGATTACCAATGTAATTAGAGCAGTAAAACTAAATGTTTTGTCATACCCGTGGTATACAGTGTGATATACCACGGCTGTCAGCCAATCAACATTCAGTGCTCAAACCATCCAGTTTATAAAGGCATATGAATGATTGAGCTTGGCATAGGACCTAATCTATGAATCAGACGTATAGGCCTATATCATTGTGGATAAAATCGAAAGGGACAACCAATCTGTGGGATAGAGATTAAGAAATGATTTCTTATTTGTTTTATCTGCTTTGATTTGCTTTAAACCACATCTATTTTTTTTATTCAGAATAAAATTAAATGAATATTAAACATTTAATCGAATTTTCATCTGAACACCATACAATACAGAACAAAGGACGAATAATATATACACTATAGGCCAAATTTATTCAGTTCATTTTGTCAAAAGGAGAGGACCAAACTGGGCGCACCTAATGTCCCAGCAGTATCAAAAATAATCAATTTCCTTTCTCATTCTTCCTCCCAATTCCCTCTCTTCTGTATTTCTTTTCTTTTAGGGAGGTGTTGGGCTAAGGTAAATTATGGCAATTCTCATAGCGAGGAGCAAATAAAGTCGTCCCGACAGAAGTAACTGTGGCAGTTAGGGTGCTGCATTGCAGACGAGAAAGCCCAATGGCGAAAAATATCGCGAGCCTGTGTGCGGAAATTGATCTTCTCCTTGGAATGAGAAAGAAATAAGTGATTTTAATATCGCCTCCGAGTTTGATGATAGAATTCTAGAGTATTTGTCCCCTCTCCGGGTAGTGTTTTAGGAGGGGCTGAAAGACTGAAGAATGGAGGAAAGTAACCAATTGCATCCGCAGTTGTATCTATGCATGAGTAAGTGGGTAGTAAATGATTTGTTCTTAGTGGCCTGCTGGACTCAATGGCCTGATGGAAAATGGCATGTATATCTTAACTCACCTGCTACAAACCCCAATCCACCCACCCAGCACACATCCAGTGTAAGGACCAGTCTGCATTTGAACCTGCATGGTTGAAACAGTGAAAATATTGAAACACATTATTGAAACACATTTCCAGTGGCGGCTGGTGAAAAATATTCTCGGTGGGGCTGTGCCATACTTTTTTTTTCCTGTAACCATCGCGATATATTTTAACACAAACTGCAGGACAGCAGTGCTCAGTGAAACATTCAGTAATTATTTAATGCCAATATTAAAAAGTTGAGGCATTCTTACACAAAAACATATTACACAAACCCAAGCCTTTCATTTGCATTTAAAGTGAACTTTTCACCATTGGTAGTAAACAGGCAACGCAACAGGCATGCTGTCAGAACAGAGTGGAAAGTGGACAATAACATGAAATTATTATAAAGTTTATAGGAAATCTTACACTGTATAAAAGGATGTATAATATAGAAATGGATATCAAGTGGATGAACTCAAACCTTTGACTGGAAGAATAGCATACAGTATTTTATGATCATACTAAATGTGACTAATTGTTAATGTGCTCCAGAACTGCAACAATTAATTGATACAAAACAACATATATACAGTAATATTAGCAAAGACACTATTAAGACTTTCTAGAGTACCATATATAACTGGATTTTTTATGCTAAGGTCAACTATATACAAAGAAACATGCGGCCAGAGCTGCTCTGTGTGTGTGTGTCTGTCATCTTATTTGTACAGGAATTTTGCCCGTCTGTCCTTCTGAGTGGCAAACCTCTCAATGACCCTTTGATTAAAGTCAGGAATGTCCCTGACAAGTTTCTTCTCCATGGAGAGCATGGCCAGAGCGTTCAGGCGATCCTGTGTCATGCTGTTTCTCAGGAAGGTCTTGATCCTTTTCAGTGTAGAGAAGCACCTTTCTGACTCAGCAGTTGTCATGGGTGTGGTGATGAGGATCTTGAGGAGGCTGGCAGTCTCTGTGAAAGTGCTCTGAAGGTTGTTCTCCATGAAGAACTGGTACAGGGGCACTGCACCACTACAAGCCTTGAACTCACTGTTCTCATAGATGAGGGACAGTTCGGTTTTGAGCTTGGCCTTGTTCAACATGGGGTACGCCTCCACGGTTGTTTCAAGCGCTGTATCGGGGAACTTCACACTGTGTTGTGGGAACAACTCTCCGTGCAATAGTGTTGCGCTGATGAGGTGCTGGGTGAAGGAGAACCTCTCTTTGGCATGACTCAGGATGGTATCACATACCTGTAAAAGATACATCATCAGCTTTAATTTGCAATTAAGCTATTTTGATGCAAGTGATCCTGACTGACACATGCCTATGTCCAACTCAAGTATATGATTACCAAGGTGCTGATTGTTCAGGGTTTTGGCTACATACTACCAGGCCTGAAAAAAGTTCTAGGGGGAAACACTGACAATTACATCACAACTTACCTCTATAGCCAACCTCTGTTGTTCTCCTGGTCCCAGCATCCTCCGTCGCTTGATGGGCTGTTGCTGCTCGTCAGATGCGCTGTCCCCACACAAAGAGGGAATTGAGGCCCTGGGTCCAAAAAATAAAGTTTAATTTGATAACTTGCAATCAGACTTCTTAACTCACTGTAATTCCCCCTCAACACACAACCAGTGACTTTTATATATATATATATATATATATATATATATATATATATATATATATATATATATATATATATATATATAGACAGACAGACAGACAGACAGACAGATAGTGTGTATATACACACAAACTATGTCTAGTAACTGCTTTTAACCTGTGATGTACATAATTAACTGATGTTATTACGTTTTAAAGCCTTTTTCTATTACATTTGTGAGAGGGATGCAACATCATTTTGTTCTGCTGTGCACTTAGCAATAAAGTTAATCTTCAATAACAACTAGGCCTCTTCTAGAAATTGACCTGGTGGACACCTGAATAATTATTACAAACTGTGTAGTACTTTCCTGCATTATTATCAACGTCTGATTGTGTCTTCTCTTTCCTTTTAAAATACTAAAACAAATATAATTGTGACGGCTCTATGATAATCACTCACTTTGATGACCAGACACATTTAGGCTTTTAAACTGTTGTAAGTGAACTATTCATCTTTCTAACAACATCTTTATCAGCCAATAGTAAATATAGTTATTTACCTGATTGTTAGCATGCTGTCTGTGAACCTCTGGACAAGTGCTTTAATGAAGACAGGGTCGATGTTCCTCTTCTGCAGCTGGCTGAAAAGCATGTCCACATTTGGCATGATCTTGTGGAACAGTGCCAGGAAAAAACAGAAAGCCTCGTCTTCGAGCATCCTCACAAAGCCCCCCGCCTCTCTGACAGTCGGGGCATCAAAGTTCCCAGAGTCTCTGATGGTCTGGAAACACGTTAGGAGGTCATCCCTGTACTCGTACACAGTGTTTACAGCGCGACTGTGGAAGTTCCACCGTGTTGTAGAGGCTCTGGGGAGTCTATGCGCAACCACTTCGTCAAGCACGGTGGTTCGCTTGGGAGACCTGGAGAAGAAAGCAGAAAATCCTGCAAGGTCGGAAAAGAAAGTGCCGATCCTGGGGATGCGTGAAGTAGCCTGCTGCATGATGAGGTTCAGCTGATGTGCATAGCAGTGGACGTAGTGCGCATTTTCGTACACATCCACTATTTTACGCTGCACTCCGCCGGTGGCTCCCCTCATCACACTTGCTCCGTCGTAAGCCTGGGCAATAAGTTTGGCCTTTTGTCCATGTGAGAGTATGGTGCTGAGCCTCTCCAGCAGCGCTGTAGCGATGGTGTCGGCGGTTGCGTTCTCGATCAAAATGAACTCAAAAAAACGCTCTTGGACGTTACTTTTAGCATCGATGTAGCGTATCACAAGCACCAACTGGCAGTGGGTGGAAACGTCAGTCGTCTCGTCAGCTTGAATGGCGATAAAATCAGCACTCTTTACTTCCTCCAGGATGTAATCCTTAAGCACTGACAGCATACAGTCCAACAGCTCGTTCTGTATCGTCTTTGACGTGCCCTTAAAAACGGTAGCTGTCTTCAGGTGCTCCTCCAGCACACTGTCGAGGGAGGCAACAAAATCCACTAAGCCCCGGAAAATGCCGGGGTTGTCCGAGGAGTCAGTCTCCTCGTGCCCACGCAAGGCCAACTCAAAAGCCCCACAGAACTTCACACAATCGATAATTTTGGATAGAATGTGCCTGTTTTTATCCACCTCCTCATTGTGTTTCCTCACCGCAATCCTGTGGCCGTCATCCAGCTGCGTAGCAATGTTCACCCTTCCTAATACAGCTAGCTTTACAGAGTTGTCCATGTGTGCCCTGGTGTTCTCATGTTTCTTTACCTTCTCTGACAGGTGCTTCATATCCCTCACTCCGGTACCTGTCCATGCTGAATCTGACCCCGTCGTTTTAAAAAGCAA